GCGCCTTATATGGGCTATATTACGAAAAAAAATTTCCTCCGACGACCCCCCTTGATATTTTGTGAGGTGGTAGGAGAACGCCTTGGGGTGTTACAAAAAACTCGGTATATCTGGGAAAACTTCGTAAAGGGGTCAAAACTGACCAGTTGTATTTCCCTATATAATCTTTGTATTTTATGGGAAAAACAGAGGGTCATTTCAACGCAGAATTTAGGGCACTAACCCTCTTTACATCTGGCTAATTTTTTGCATGCTTATAGGTAAATGGCTTGACCTTTAGGGAAAACTGTCGGTCTGACTCAAAGCCCTCGACGAGGGCTAAAAAGTGACCGCGAGTGAAGTTCTCTTTATATGAGCTCTATTACGAAAAAAAAATTCCGACGACGACCCCCCTTGATATTTTGTGAAGTGGTAGGAGAATGCCTGGGGGTGTCACAAAAAACTCGCCATGTCTGGGAAAAATCGTGAAATGGGTCAAAACTGACCAGTCGTATTTCCCTATATAATCTTTGTATTTTATGGAGAAAACAGGGTAATTTCTACACAAATTTTCGGGTACTTACTCTTTGTATAACTGGCTAATTTTTTTTGCATACACCTCTATAGATGACTGGGCCGTATGGAAAAACTGTTGGTCAGCATCAAAGCCCTCGAAGAAGGCTAAAAATGAATGCGAGTGAAATTCTCATTATACGAGATTTGGTCATTTTGTTTATGAACAGGGGAGGTAACTTTTTAATGTAACAATTTTTTTTATATTTTGTATACTCTTTTTAAGAAAAAACAAAAATCATAAAGTGCAGCATTGTTTTAAACGAATATTTTGTTATAAATTAAGTTTTGTATTGTATTGAAATTGTAAAATTAATTGCAAAAGTAATTTAATATAATATTTGATTGATAATTTTTATGAGAGCCCTTTCAGTTCTAATAACCTTGCGAGTAATAAGTTTGCGAATATTCCATCAATTTATGTGTAACATAAAAGTACCACACTGAATAAATTTAGGCCCTAAGCATTTAACATAACAGCCAATCACCTATTAATTAATCGTTCAATTTCTCAACTTTTTTGAAAACCTAAGCGAAGCTAGGCAGTATGCCTAGTTTTCCATAAAACTGAAGTTTTATGTGAGATTTATTTTAATATTTTAGCCAATCGTTCAAAATGAAGTTGATACGTCCAGCAGCTTGTATTCGCTAAAATTAATCACACCCACACACTACACACGCACACCACAGAAACTCGCACACATACACACATACACAAACATACATACATATATACACATATATATACTCACATACTCGCACATACAAACACATATACACACAAACATGCTTCTACTAGGTGTTTCATGTAAATTATATATATATATATATATAATATAAGCGGGCTGAGCGTGTGTCAGTCTGTCATCGCTATAGATTTTGGAACCATGTAAGTAAACATCGCGCTATGATGTGCTTTTCAGTACATTGCAGCGTATTATTATTAGTTATAGGGTTTGTTAGTAGGGTTTGTTTATATAACGACATAGAGCTATTTTATAATTGCCACCGTTTTTACTTTATTGCATAATGTAAAGAAAATATTAAATACACAAACATTGCTAAAACATATTAAAAAGATCAATGTCAAATATCATTTTAGTTTATAATCCTAGAAACAATTGATACATTTTCATAAAAGTAGGTCGAATAATCGAATTAACTCACCTTTTTTTTTTGGGAATTTTTGCAAGGGAGGTAATTTGAAAATATATTTAACTCATCAATAATTTAAGTTAATCTTTTTTTTTTTATTACTACCGCATTGATTATTATATGTTAAGGTTCATAATTAAAATAGAAAAATGTTAAGATTATTTATATTATTTATTATTATTTATTATGATTTCTCAAAATCACTATTTGTTTGCTTTTGTTTTTCGGTGTCATGAAAACAGATGGGGAAATTAGACTTTTTGAGAATAATGGAAAGGCTCTCTCTGGGCGCGGACGTATTGGAAAACGTGTTTTAAATATTCAACTCACTCTCAATAATTTAAGTTAATTTTTACTTTCTCGTATATACGAAGTATAGAGAAAGTATTGTAATCGTGCAAAAAAAAAAATCGAGATTTTTACAAATGTCGACGTTTTACACCTTACTGATACGGAAAAACATAATTTTGCAATCTTGTCCGTATGTCTGTGTGTCTGTGTGTGTCTGTGTGTCTGTGTGTGTGTGTGTAAACACGATAACTTGAGTACCGTTACAGCTAGGTTGATGAAATTTCATATATAAGTATTTTATCAAAATCGTAGATCCGTATCAACTTTTGAGCGATTTCCGATAACCGGAAGTGGTACTTTTTCTACTTTGAATTTTTCAAAAGCCTATAACTTGAGTACTATTTCAGATAGATAAATGAAATTTCACATGTAAGTAATAGATCTAATTCTCTACCTTCTGTTAAATTTTGAGTAATTTTCGTTGACGGTAAGTACTAATTTACGCTATTTCCGATTTCTCAAAAACGCATCTAAATTTAAAAAGTACTAATAATATTGCGCACCATTATGAACATCTTTATTCGGCGTTCACTTGGTGTGCAATACTTTTTTCTATGAGATTCTATTCTATTTTAAAAAGTTTAAGTATTTAAAATGGATTAAAAATCATAACTAGATCTATATCCCGAGTTCCCATCCCCTGTTGTTTTATATAAGAATATTCGAGAAAGTTTAGGGGATATCACTCCCGGTTTATTTTTATTACTTCCACATTAATTATTATATGTTACTGTTCATAAGTGAAATAGAACAATGTTAAGATTATTTATATTATTTTCTAATTAGTCTATGATCTCTCAAAATCACTATTTTTTGTTTTTGTTTTTCGGTGTTAACAGATGGTGAAAATTTAGAATTACAGTACAGAGAATGCTGTAACTCTCCGGGCGCGGACGCCTGTGAAAAGCGTGTTTTTCGGTGGTGGTTCTAATTACATTGCCAATGTGTTTTCTTAGAACTATAAAAGTAAACACCACTTGCCGTACATTTATTTGCATCGCATTGTATTATTGTAAGTTATGGAGTAGGATCTATTTATGTGACTTAAATAAAGGCTTCTTTGGGCGCGGACGCCTAAAAAAGCGTGTTGTTTGGTGGTGATTCTAATGTTGTGGCTGTGGTTGTGTTGTGTTGTGGTTGTGATGTGTTGTGGTTGTGTTGTGGTTGTGTTGTGGTTGTGTTGTGGTTGTGTTGTGGTTGTGTTGTGGTTGTGTTGTGGTTGTGTTGTGGTTGTGATGTGGTTGTGTTGTGGTTGTGTTGTGGTTGTGTTGTGGTTGTGTTGTAGTTGTGTTGTGGTTGTGATGTGGTTGTGATGTGGTTGTGGTTGTGGTTTTGTTGTGTTATGGTTGTGTTGTGTTGTGTTGTGGTTGTGTTGTGGTTGTGTTGTGGTTGTGTCGTGGTTGCGTTGTGGTTGTGTTTTTGTTGTGTTATGGTTGTGTTGTGGTGGTTGTGTTTTGTTTGTGTTTGTGTTGTGTTTTTGTTTGTTTTGTTCTGTTCTGTTCCAAAGTTGGTACATTTAAAAAAGATTTATAGTGGCGGAGCACGGGATGCAGCTAGTATATTATATATAACGAGCCGACCCGCAGCGTATCATACGCCGCTATTTAGTTGTTTTATTTTCTACTTTTCAGTAATTCATAATTTGTGAATTCGACAGTACCAATGCTGCCACTTAAAAATATTTGCTTTAAAACACTAAAACTCTCCTCCCCCCCCCACCCGTGAAAGTAGCCTTCTCTTAGTTACCTCCCCTAAGTTTAGAATAGTTTCAAACTAAATTATCTGCCCCTAATAGCCGTCACTAAACCCGATTGTAAAATGTAAACATTTAGAGTGAACTACAGCTCATCAGACCATGCGGGGGTGGGGGAGGTTGATTTATGCCTAGTGAGGAAGAGAGGGGATTGCAAGGCGCGTTTGCAGCTTGTTTTAAAACGGCTCGCAGAAGAGAATTATATATATAAATATTTATTTATTAATTTATTTTTTATATATTTTTTTCAGGGGTAGAGGGGGAGGGGGGCGTGACACCATTAAGTTCCGCACCGGGCGACACCCGACCTAGCTACCCCTCTGCATGGACCAGACCAAACAAACAAAAGCCATGGCACTCAATGATGAAAAATGAATATTGGTCTTGTCTTACGTTATAGAATGTGAACATGTCATGGAGTTCCATATAAAAGGGAATATATTTTCTTAAATGAGCGCCACAGTTTTTATTTTAGTAATGCTAGCTTTATGCTTTAGCAAGGTTACACCAAACTAAATTTTGTTTTTACTTTTGAGTGCCCTTTTTACTTTCTCGTATATACGAAGTATAGAGAAAGTCTTGTAATCGTGCAAAAAAAAAAAATCGAGATTTTTGCAAATCTCGACGTTTTACACCTCACTGATACGGAAAAACATAATTTTGCAATCTTGTCCGTATGTCTGTGTGTCTGTCTGTCTGTCTGTCTGTGTGTGAGTCTGTGTGTAAACACGATAACTTGAGTACCGTTACAGCTAGGTTGATGAAATTTCATATATAAGTATTTTATCAAAATCGTAGATCCGTATCAACTTTTTAGCGATTTTCGATAAACGGAAGTGGTACTTTTTCTACTTTGAATTTTTCAAAAGCCTATAACTTGAGTACTATTTCAGATAGATAAATGAAATTTCACATGTAAGTAATAGATCTAATTCTCTACCTTCTATCAAATTTTGAGTAATTTTCTTTGACCGGAAGTACTAATTTACGCTATTTCCGATTTCTCAAAAAACGCAAGTAAATTTATAAAGTACTAATAATATTGCGCAATATTATGCACATTTTGTTTCGGCGTTTGTTTGGTGCGCAATGTTTTTTTCTATGAGATTCTATTCTATTTTTAAAAGTTTAAGTAATTAAAAATCATGTCTACATTCCAAGTTATATAAGAATATTCGAGAAAGTTTAGGGGAGATCACTCCCGGTTTATTTTTTAGCGTGGTAGAGTGAGGCAGTTGCGCCATGGCATGATTTCGTCCCTTTGTGGGCCGCACTTGTTCATGTATCTTTTGTGGTTAGCTGTTAAATCTTGGCAACACATACTCTGGCAACGGATGCTGTCGGTGCATGGTTCACCTGCAAGGTAAGACAGGTGTGCCGTTATACATCGTGGTGATCAGGCGATCAGGTTATCTAAGGCTATACAAGAAAATTGTGTCTGAAGATGTCGTTAATGTTCACGTATTTCTCTATTTCTCTCTCTCTCTCTCCCTCCCTCTCTCTCTTTCTCTCTCTATCTCTGTCCGCAACATTTTTGAGGCTTTGTGATCATTATGCTCAGCGTTGTATGGAAAACTGGAAGATAGGAACTTAAGTTGAAAGTTGAAAATAATATGTTGGACGCTTTAAATGTAAAAACTAAATTCCAATTTTAGAATATTAAGAAGAAATGAACTATTTCATTCAAATTTGATTTAGATCTATAGATCTACTTATCAAGACGTAGGCTATGAAATGTAAACACTTTTCTCTGCTAAAAGTGATATAAATGACTTTAAAAAATGACATAAATACCGTTGAACAGCCGGGTTTGCAACGACATTATTTAAGTTGCCTTATTTTTTCTAATAGGTATTGGTAGTCTATGTTATGTTAAATGTGTCGGATTTTTGACTATTTAGTTATTTCATTGCTTTGTCGCTAATATCGCTCAACGTGTAGTAAAGCACATTGCGTTTTGAACAATAACAATTTTTATAAAATATTTTTCTCAAACAAGTATAACAATAAAACATATAGGTCTATAATTCACGTGTAACGGTTACCGACGGCTAGCGTAACATAAATGAGAACTAAAGGAAACCATACAAATTGAGAAATGTGAGAAACAGAAAAAAGACAACTTATCGTCATACGCACTGATATAAATGAACTACACTCACCGTCCGATAAAAGCGGAGTGCCATCCGCCTGGTCAAGTCGCACATTTCTGCAGAAATTTCTGACGATTAGGTTTCCGCCTATTTCCTGACGTGACGTCAGACAGGTTTCGAGTGAGTGACAGCAGTGCGTGTCCCTACCACACGTCTGGCCTGTTGATGCACACTGTGGAGGGGAGTAGGGGAGGAGAGACGAGGACATCGGATTTTCATTTGATTAATTTGTTTAGACAGACAGACAGATAGACAGACAGACAGACAGACAGACAGACAGTGAGTGTCTTACTCTGCTGTTAGCTCCCTCCACCAGCATCAGCACTACCAATGCGATCCCAATAACAACTTTAACCATTCTTGCTGTTCTCCGATATATCTGTCAATATTTTGATCAGCTTAGTTATCAATGTTCGAAACACATCTATGTTTAGTAAAGCATTATTCGTGTTTTTGGACCGTTGTTTGCTCGACTCCTAATACAAAGTTCTCAATGCTAGTACTCCGTCTCGAGCACCGTATGGATGTCCCTGGTGGCTGACCAAAAAACTGACCACATTGTTCAAAATGTGCAGGGTTTACACATAAAAATGAATTCTACTTCATATCTATACAGGACACAAGCGCATCAGGAGACACATTACTTATAAAGTATTTTTAGATGCAGCTGTCCATTTCATGTATGAGTTTGGATTTTTATGTGTTTATAAGTTTTGTAGCCGATTATGCAATGTAATATATATATATATATTAACTATAACGCATTTTTTTTTTTGGAAATCCAAACAACATTACAACGAGTGTGTCAATGTTATTAATAATTTATTTTTCAGTGACAGGTCCATGAAAATCGACGTTTTCATAATAATTACAATAGAGTTTTGCTAGATGTAATACCTAACCCATATCGCGAGCGGTGAACGGAAAAAAGTCACAGGAAAAAAAAGACAGAAAAAAAGTCACAGTTTTTGTTAGGATAAAAAGTCATAGAAAAAAAGTCACAAAAGAAAAATTTTATCGGAAAAAAAAGGCTCAGAAATAAAGTTACAGAAAAAAAGTCACAAATATATTCTAAGAAATATTTTGATTTAATTGTTCATAATTGTAAAATGTGGGGTCTTTATTAATGTGCTTGGTAATTTTTTTTTTCAGTAGCATATTTGTAAACTTTAAAAGCATTATGGTTTATAACACTAAAAAAATAAAATATTGTAAGGTAATGTAGCCTACATAGTAATAGCAAAGTCAACATAATCATATGTTACGTATTTAGTTAAATGCACGGTGGAAAACTATTGTAAAATAAATTTGGACTCATCATTGTGTTTGCATATGTTTTTGCTGTAGGTATTATGTTGGTCGACTTCCCTCAGCCGGCTTTGTCCGGCCATATTGTGTTTTGTTTACGTTTTGCGTCAATCACAGCTTTTGAACCGTGTCGGCTTTCTCTTTTGATCCTAGGCTTTGTTATGTAAAGAGCGTGATGAATGTGGTCAGTAAAGGTGGTTGAACTATTGTTGTGATTAGTTGAGGATAGCAATTCACATTAACTTTGTCTTTATTCTATTTCACGCTAATTTTAAGTTAATATTTAAAAAAACACGATTGAAACTAAGAAGGTTCGAACATCATATTATATTCTATTAAATATTATATGTAAAAAAGAATTACAGTTGAAACCTACACACTTTATAATTTTTGTATTAAAATCTTTTATGTGTTATAAATATTACTATATGTAAACAAACCACGCATACATATCTAAAATGATTACATTACATTTAATTAATCTTAAGTTGATTAGCGTAATAAATATAAGTATTAACAAAATCCATGTAAATATATATTTGTGACTTTTTTCCTGTGACTTTTTTTCCTGTGGCTTTTTTTCCTGTGACTTTTTTTCCTACAATCATCGCGAGCCTGTTTGTTATAATTGTAATCCTTTTCATATGAAGCTTATTCAAAAACAAATTATCAAACACACTTTGGGATATTAGCATTATCGACCGGAGTTGGCGTGGCCTAACGCTAGACTTGGTGAATGCTAATGTGAAGTGCACGAGTTCGGATCCCTTGATCGAACTCCCCTTAAGTTTAAGCCAGGTGGTAAACTGCACAGTGGGAGGAAGTATGTGTTACATTAATTAAACAGACGCAGTTCTCTGAGCTAACTTTAGTACCTGATACTACCTTTCGTTAACTTCCGCATAAATACACAGTAAAAGAACTGAACATTCAAGGGCCGTAACGATGCTGTACACAATACAAGTTAAGTAACAATCACTAACGACATAATGTAACAATATGGTACCATGGGTGAGAGAATTCTTAAGCATGCCCCAGTCTTCCTCGGGCACGCAACATGTGATAGTGTTAAAAGCTAACTGCACTTCAATTGAATTGTAGTCTATGCCCTATTCTAGCTAGAAATTGCCAATAACTATACCATTTGTGATTGACATCCTATCTAAATAAAAAAAAAATTAAAAAAAAGAGCTGTTTTGTTAAAAACCCTACCAACTTTTTAAATAGATCGATTTCACTGGAAGAGCCACCCCAACTCTTATTGATATATACTAACATATACGTATATAAGAGAAATTTTAGGGGGAGCTTAACCCCGCTTCACTTCATCCAGGGACCTTTTCGCTATCTTCGCTGTAAGGGGCGGTTTAGTATCTTAACTTACAGAGATGACTTACATATAAGCTATGACATTACTTAGCTGGTTTGTAACATATTTTAATGCTTTTCTTAAACAAATATATTTAGCCGCATTTATAAAAAATTTTATGGCTGGTAACTTTCATTGCAAAAATGTTATACATAAAGTGTGTTGTGCTCTACTGTAGCTGTAAATATTAACAGCTGGTAGTGGTAGATGGTTACCCCCGAGGAGTCATCTAAGGGTAAAGTATGAAAAGCATGGGAAGAGGGCACAATTTATCAAATTTATCGGATGTTATAGGAATATCTGTTTAGACAAAATATCAAGCGATGTGAAATTCTTTCCTACTCACCAGTACCGTCTATTAAAGATGAGAGGTTGAGCAACGAATGTTCAGGGATGTACACAGGAGCAGACGATCGAATACTCTGTGATCAAATGAACTCACTACAACAGTTATAAAGAGCTCAATCTGGCCAACACCTGTTACATGAGTTGCGTGTAAGTTGAACCAATCACTAACGTGGTAACTATGGAAGTAATGGCGGTTGAAAGCCTGAGACAACGCCCACATACCACGCCTACCATGAAGTACATTTTCAACCTTTTTGTAGCTGATGGAGGTAACTCAATCCCAAAAAAACATAAAATTGGTTTATCAACTCAAATCAATATCAGAATTTCTTCCAGGCATCTCTTCCGTGGAAGGGGGGGGGGGGGGAGCATGTGAATTTATGCACATTTTATTTGGCGTTCACTTGGTGTGCAATTCTCTTTTCTACGAGATTTTATTCTATTTTTAAAAGTTTAAGTATTTAAAATGGATTGAACGGGATGGCGCGTGTCTACTAGCGCGGAGTAGTTGGATAAGACTAACTACTAATCTGGTCAAACTTTTAATTCATTCATAAAAAATTAATCAGGCAACCAATTAAGTCAAATTTAATGTCATGTTGCATTGTCTTCATGTCTTGAACCAAACGCCAACGTTGAAACTGTCAGAAGTGTCCGAAATTTCGCTCTGGCGTTTCGATCTAGACAGGCAGACAGACTGACGAGGAAGTGAGTTAAAAATAAAAGCTTGTAATAAAGATAAAATTAAGAATCGCATGCCAAAACGACAAAATAATAAAGACGTAATTGACGTAATGGATATTTGAGACAACAAATTAAAAGCCTTATTTTATTTTCTAATTTAAGAAGTGAATGTAGATGAACAAATAAAATAGCAGAAAAGTAATGTATATGGTATGCGTCATTAGCAGGATTAATGTTAGAGTTATTATCTTTTTTATTTCAAGTTAAATTTCCGAATCATGTTATGGATGACAATCCGTTTTCAATTATTCTTTTCGTCATAATAATTTTGAAGTTGTGGTGGTTTTTTTTTGCTTTTGGTTTCAGTTTAGAGAAAAAGAAAACATTATCAACCTAGCGGCCGTTGTGTTTCCTTCAATGGGCCATCTATTTAGTGTTTAAACATTTTCATTTTAGCACTCACCCACAACACAATCTACTCTCTTGAGTTTACATCGTTTTATACATCATCAACATACACACCACAATACTGGCAAACAACATCAACAACACGAACACGCCACTCATATCAACACCACACTGCCCGCCATCATCATAATATTACACTTTATGCTCATCAGTAGTATAGTAGGTCCCCTTTGGGTATCATTTGTGCAGACATGTTTATATAGTAAAATATTGAGCAGCCAGAGCAGACATGTTATATAGTAAAATACTCCAGCTGGAGCAGGTGCTCCCCTCCTCCTATTGTCTTCCGTGACGGTCCTTTACGGCCGCGACGACAAACAATAGAGTATCGATTTTTTTTTTTGAAAGAAATGTTTAAATAGTCATTAAAATAATTTATTCAGCTAGGCTTGCTTTACAATAGGCCATATTTCTCATACAGTTGATCTATAAATAGCCGTTACTATTTACTATCAGTCTGTTTTTGTCCTCTGTTTTTTGTCTAGTCGTGTTAATTATGTAAAGTGTGATTGCTTTATTTGTTGTGGCTGTTTGCTTTGTTGGCTTTTAATATTTACATATGTTGTAATCACAATGTTTTCATTGTTTTCATTGTTTTTTTAATTTATTTTTTAACCACCTTTTAACTTTAAGGTTCTATAACCATCATTTTGACGACCACTTATATATATATTTAAATACATTTTGTTTATATTTTTTTATAATTTTCTAAAAAATATTAATATAGAAGATAAACAAATAATTTTTTTTTTCTTTCTGTGATCTCGGCATATGAAGTGATAGTGTGTTCATCACTATGTCCAACCGCCTTACTTTCCCTAACGTAAGTTAGGTACCCATCAGAGTTGGGTAGACTCGGGGACAGTCTACTGTCTTTGAACCTGGATTCGAACTCGGGACTTTTGGGTTAGCAGTCGTAAGTTTTACCACGCTGCCCCCTTCATTCATGACTATATAAGTTCCTATTGATTTGGTCAGAATAATTGTCAGGGGCACAGTTATCTCTTTACTAAATAAAACTAATATAGAAACGAAGGCAGAGTCGAATTTTTCTAGAACAGTCTTGTTAACAACCACGAGTAGCGTCCCGTAAATTTAGGATCCCAATGGTTTAACATAGAAATGACACTAAACACCCTTGGTGATGTCTTTGTAAACAAAAAGTCGGTTAAGTTTCAAATCTCAAGTTTTGTAAACGTCTTTGTTTAAGTATTTACATTGTTTTATGTAGGTTCAGAAGTATTTCATAGCGACAATGGAACAGTGTCCGTGCGCGTTTGTTTACATTTAAAAATACATATCGCGTGCTTTGCGCGCGTCTCACGACGTTTTAAGTTTTCCTAGTGTTTTTAAAACAGCGATTTCTTTCTAAAATAGTGACCAGGGTCAGACATCAAAGAGTATATTAATCAATTATCATTAACAATTTAAAAAGTAATTTAGGATGTCAATGGTTTAACATAGAAATTACACTAAATACCCTTGGTTATGTCTTTGATTTTGTAAACAAAAAGTCGATTATGTTTCAAATCTCAAGTTTTGTAAACTTCTTTGTTTAAGTGTTTACATTGTTTTAAGTAGGTTCAGAACTAGGTTTATTTTATTAACATAAAAGTTTTGTCTTAATTAAAAATAATTGTCAGACTAAATAGCTAATTAAAATGATCAATAGCAGTTTGGTTTAATAAGTAATATATGTGTTACACCAGCGTTAATCTTAGAAAAAATATTTTGATTGTTATGATTATAATTGTTTTTTTTTCCAATTGTCTTATTAATACTCGGCCCTACGATTTGTGAGATAATGACCAGCATGGTATATATTATATTTATATACACTGTTATTATTTTTTTAAAGTCATCACTACCCCACTGAAACCTCTTAAAATAAGACCATTTTCCTATGATCAAAATTTTAGCTCAAATCAGTGAGAAATAAATCGGGTCTAGCATATATTAATCCAACTGATGTCGTTTAGAAGAAAAGCTGTACCTACAATTAAATTTACTGAAAGGTTTGCTTAAAAGCTTTTATCAAAATGGTTGTGCACTTTTACTTGTAATAAGTTATAATTTTTTACTTTTCATAGATATGTATTGAATTAGTCCATTTTGATTATGACTTGTTGTCCTGGCGTTGACATTTTACACTTTTTTTTTTTTTTTTTTTTTTTTTTTTTTTTTTTTTGAGACTCACATATACACATACATATACATACACACACACACACACACACACACACAAATGAAACTAAAATCAAATCACAACAAGTCTTGTTTATTTTTATTAATTTTATTTTCCCTAAGCCGATAAAATACTATGGTATAATATTTACAAGCTTGCAAAACATACACGCGTCATTCACTCTATGTATTTTTTAAGTGCAACGAAGGCACGAGACCGCCTTTTATTGTGTGCCGTGAGCACAATACCCATTGTATGGGTATCTGAGCATAGGGCAATAGCTATACCCCAACGCACATGGGCGGTTAGATAATAAGCGAGGTAGCTTTTCCGCGGAGCAAGCTGTGAAACAGGTGAAATAAAGAAAGTCGCTTTTTTTGTATTTTATGTCTCAATCAGGGTGGCGCGATATTTTTTTTTTCTCTTTGTATCCGTGTTGTAAACAAAATGAGGAGGAGAAAGGGTAGTGACCTACCCTCCCACCCGTGTGTTCCATGATGGCAAACACAATTTTAAATGTGTATTTGTTAGGTTTTAGTAGCGATATATCTTCTACTTGTTTCTTCCTTGTGACAGCATTAGCAGGGGAGACGATTCGTTTCAGCGGAGCGAGTCGTGCGTCATTTAAAGACATCAAATAGGGTAATGTTACACAAGACAAGCTTTTAGTACTCTGTTGAAATTAATTAAAGGGAGAAAATCCTAAAAAATATTTACTAATGTCCCTCTGGTGTAATCTTTACAAGCTAACAAAACATACGCCGTCATTCACTCTACGCATTTTTTTAAAGTGATACGAAAGCACGCGGCTACCTTCCATTGTGTACCGTGACCACAATACCCATTGTATGGGTATCTGCGCATAGAACAATGAATCAAACAGACTGTGTCGGAAAAATACTTCCACACAACACCCTTCTCTCGAAGAAGACAATTTATTTTTAACTTCACGTTGAGTAATTTTTTTTTTTTTTTTTTTTTAAAAGTGTTTTTGGTACGTTTTAGTAGCGAGATATCGTCTACTCGTTTCTTCCTTGCGATGTCATTAGCAGGGGAGATGATTCGTCTTTTACAGTGAGCTAGACCATCTCTTTTCCAAGTGCAACGTACGCGAAATAAAGACACTAGCTTTTGTATTTTATATCGCAAGCAGGTGACGGGATATTTATACATCTGCTTGAGCGTTATCGGCGAAATTTGTTTTAAACATTATTAATACGCTAAAATTTTAAAATATTATTGTTTCATACACCGATCTCAAGATAGAGTTTTTAATCAGATCTATTATTAACAAATATTGTCATTTTAACACACTGCGTAACCATCAAGTTGAATCAACCACACCTGATGTTACCACTCGTAAAGTCAAGTCTTCAAGACAAAACACTGATACTAAACAAGACATTAAACTGAATTATATGCCACTATGTGATACAACTAATATTATCTTTGCAATGTTAAAAGAGGGGGTATAACTTGTATTGAGTGTAGATGTATAGTGTTTAATATTTAATACATAGAACACAGGACAAAAAAAAAACAGATTTACATCACCGCAACATCCGACATAAGGGTTGGGGTGGGTACGGGGAGGGCGGAGGAGAAGAAAAAAAAACACCATAAAATGTATAACGCTACAAATGTTTGGCTTTATTCAACGACTTAAGAGTAGAAATGTGCTATAATTTTATGTATGTCTTCATTGTAACAGTCACCATAACAAATGATTAAACTTTATGATTTTTTTTGTGTGCGAGAAATGC